ATTGAAAATTACTATATCCACAAAATAAACTAATAATTAAAAATTATATACATAAAAGGACTAAATAAATTGCAATATACCTTATATCTGGAAAATAAAGAAGATACTTCTCCATATTTTTTTTACAAATAATGATAAAACAAAAAAATAACAAATGAGATAAATAACCTATTAAAAAGATTTTATTTTTTGCTTATGCTATTTCTAGTTGCTTATTTCTGCCAATATTTGCTATACTGTAAAGTCACAAACATATATGTCTGCGAAAATTATATTATAGAATGTGCTGAAATGTTTGTTTCACTCAACCACGATAGTAATACTAGCTGTGATATTCAAGGAGTGCTGACAGAGACTCATGTGATATTATTCATGTCAATAAACGAGAACTTTTTTTAATTTCATCGTTTCTTTCAAAGAAAATATCCGTTTAAGATCGTGATGCCTGTGATATTATGAGCTTGGTATCAGTCATTATCATATATAAGTATCTATTTCTCCGCGATAGCTAACACAAACGGACAGGCACATTGAACCTTAGCAATTATGGGAAGTGGTCATGGCTCAGTGCTTTTAATTTATATCTCGTTGATAGTGATAATTACATGTCCAATGTTACTTTGGAACCAGCATATATCTTAAATAAAGATTTAATCATAACGTACTTCATAACGTTCGCGCCTATTCTCCGCATTAATTATACCTTTTCTATATTTCTCGTTATTAATAACAGCTGCTAATGATATAACATTCATTTTTTACTGACTCTTATAATTTTCATTTAAATAATATTTGTTGCTTCTGACAGATACAGTGAAATCATTATCTTGCCATTTATTGAATATTGCATCATTATTGAAATTGATTATGACTTTTTATGAAATTATATCACGCGTTAATGATTATTTTTTTGGGCAAAACTGTAACAAGTGATTGCAATATTCGTTTATTTTTTAAAATTATATCACGCGTTAATGGATTATATAGAAATATCAATCACATAGAAACGTGACAAATCTCAGATAAAATTCTTTTTTTTCTTGTGAGACTCTTGTACTGATAGTTCAAAATACACGATCACAGTTAATCTTAATGCATACGTCGCGACATTCTGAGACAAATAATTTTGTACCGGTAAAGTATAACGAGCTGGCTTAAACTGCATTCCGCAGACGATAAGCATATCTTGCTTCGTAATGAGTGCGAACCTCTCCACGAACTTTTACGAGTGTCTTTAAATAATCCGAATCGTAAAATATACTCGATTCAACAACTTCCTCATTTCTTTATTATAAATATGAAATAATTTATTTACGATTGTAATTAACTATTAAATACCGTTAATTGTTTTATAAGATATCAAAAATTGTTAATTTTTCTGTTATAAAAATATTATATTTTATGATCGTATATATTTTATGAATCGTATGATTGTTTTATCAAAGAAATTAATGTAATTTAAACATAATTCGAATAATTTAATTTATTTATAATTCTTGTCGTAAATTTTCAATATTCAAAATGTGTGTGTGTATTTTTGTCTGTATTTAGAATGAGATATTTTATAGTAAGAAATAGCATAAGTATTGCGATAAAAATTCATGAGTTTATCAATTTCACAATAGGATTCAGGAAATCGCAGCTCAGAGGAAGGAAAAAGGATTGATAAAAGTGACTCTCCATCCATGTATGAAGTAACATTCAGTGTATTTCCATCCTGTCAACAAATACTGATTATTAAATACCAAAGTTTCTTCAATCTTTCCCGAAAAGAATTATGCTACGTGTTTTTAAATCTTAAAATATTCAAGATTTTCCAAGTTAATTTACCGAAGAAATTACGGATAAGGAACAACTTTTTAGTAGATAAAAATATTTTTATTTATAATCATTAAATATTTAGATTATAAATGAATAGCTGAAAGTTAAAATATTAATAACTCAAATAAAAACAATTATTTATTTAGTAGAAATTTTATATGTATTTTTATATATTTCATGTACATATATTAATCATTACTTTTTTAAATACGCATTTAAAGTAATATTAATTTATTATTAAAGATGATTCTTCAGCTTTCCGTGAGAATCAGTGTTATGGAATAAATTTTGCGCTTCGCAACGCCATGAAATTAATGCTATAAATTAGCACACGAATTTTCTGCAACGTTTCTCAAAGGCGTAAGACAGTTGAACATTAGTCACGCGCGAAGGAAGATGAGAACTATCTGCTCTCGTTACGGAATAGCGCATTTTCAAGTGTAATATTGCGCACAAAAAATATTTGAGAAGATATCGAAGAGAGAGAGAAAGAGAGAAGAAACGCAGAACGAATGGCCTAAGAAGTGTACCATGGCCAGCGGGTTTCGCGAGGGACGCTCCCTTCTTCGGCAACTGGGTCTCATTTTAATTCCCCTCGAAAGAAACGACCGCCTAGCAGCTGTTGCCGTTTACGAAACGTGTGCATCGCTGAACTCCGCGGGATATTTATTTGAGGTGAGAAAAGGTAATCGATTTTACGATTTGGAATAAGATAAGCGCACGCATTTTTTCAAAATATATATGCGAATATAATTTTTTAATAACAGCATAACTGATAAGATAATTAATTCAACAACTTTTAATCGTTAAATTAATGTCCTTATTAATGAATTGTTAAGATGATGAACGTGCAAGTTAAATATTGTATGTGTCATTTTTATTATTCCTGATCTTAATTTAGCTTCATGAGACATTTGCATTGAAATCGCACACGACTACTTATCACGACTACTTATACGACTACTTATTCACGTACATCATTCGAATGCATAATATAAAATTTACGTCAGCTACTTTTGCAGTCTTAACATTCAAGGATATTTATAAAATGTCGATAGTTTTAACTCGAAAGTTTATTCCTTGTATGCAACAGATTATATAATAATTATGTTTCCGCAAAATTAATCGCGAAATATTTCGAACATGTTTCGCGCCTGAGATATCTTTGTTCAATAAAAAATATACGTGACATGCTCTTTAACTTTATATAATCATATGTTAAAAAGATTATATTTTTGAGTTTTATCAAAATTGTTTATATTGCAACGGTTGAATTATATTTTGTGGCAGTGCAATAAAAATAACTTTCGAAATTGCGATATGTCATCCTTAGTTAATTGTCGACGATTTCTCTCAGGAAGGACTTTATCGCCAATTGTTTTTCTTTAAAAGTGTCGCTTTGTACTGATATACACTCGACGGGAAGCCATTTACGGGACATTTGAATGGACGCGATTTAGATACATACACGAGTTTGTGTTATAAAGTGATTTATGACTGGCGAGAATCGCTTCGTCTCGGAATCGTGAAACCGGGCGAATATAAAACATACGTTTAAACACAGCTGTGAGATAAACGATACGCCCGCTTGAAACTTAACACAAAGGTTCACCAGGCTGAATACTATGTCGCGAATTTTTGCCAACTGTTGCGCGCATTTCCTGTTTCTCATTTATGTAACGATGTTTGAAAAGCGTATCGAAATTGTATGCAATCGAAATGAAAACGTTACACCACAAATTAACCAAAATCTTTAAAATTGCATTAAGCGCGATATGTGTGAAAAGATGATTATTTAAAAGATGATTATTTAATGTGTGTAAAAGATGATTATTTAAAATATAAAATAGTATTTTCTAGTGTTTTATATTTTATTATTTCTGCAAATATCTCTTGACGACTTTTGTATATTTATCGGTACGCAGTAAGATAATGTAAACACGAGCTATGTGAACGAATGCGGGGTACAAACAACGATAGTCTGTTTCATTATTTACTATCATATTACGTTAGTAAACTCTTCTTTTTTTTACAATAACTATAAGAAAATCATATTCATGAAAATGACATAAAACTGTAACGCAAAAAATATTATTTTCCATTTTTTAACCCATTAATCGGAGTTCTATACAGAAATCCAACGTCGGTGGCCTATTTTTAGTTTAGAAAATTTAACGCGAACAAAATTGTGTTTATACTATACGAAAGATCAGACAAAAATAAATCACAATAAAAGTAAAGAACAAAAACATAATCATAAATTCTATAATAAAAAATTTTTCAACTTTAAGGTCTAACAATTTCACGCGATCATTCAAATTGTATGCCTTTCTAAACATGAATCAGTCCAATATTTAGGCATAAAACGGACTATAATTAATTTCCCGTTAACAATATGTTAACAAACTGTGAAAAATAAAGCACGAAATACTACACATGAAAGTAGATGATATTTAATCTCTCTCAGCAAAGAATATATTTGCTTAATTTTATTTCAATAGATGTAATTATTTGATTACTTAAATTAACAAAATATAAAAGTTATATCATTTAAAATAGAATATTAATTAGTGTTCGTAATTTAAAATATTGCTATATTAATTGGCATAACAATTTAGCAACAGATTACACATACATTAATTTTTTAAATTAACGATAATCAACGCGAATAATCTTGAGAAATAGCTGGTATTTCCACAGCGTCGATTATCCTTTGTCATCCCTAAACCATACTTAAATTCTCATCCCACCCTGTCTTAAAATAGGTCAATGAAAACAATCGCATTAGTGAGAGTGTAACGTCAACATAATCAGCGATAACAGTGATTATTAATTGACGATATCCACTAAAAACACTAGCTAAAATTATTAAAAATGACACTAGCTGACTTTAACAATTTTTTATAATAATAATTAGCCTCGTCGAAAAGCAATCTAACGTCGCAATTTACTCCGATTTGACCCAACCACCCCGGCTAGACGATACCATTCATAGATGCGTGTTCACCAATTCGATGAACGGCGTCTGCGCGGAAATACACCCTTAGTAGGTCGAGTCCACGAGTCCCACGTCAAAAATGGGAGAGAGGGGAGGTGGGGAGGAACGGAGGGTTGTTGACTAGGTCAGGGTGACAGGAATGCCAGCGACCGTGTGGACATGGATAGAGCGGATTTCTCACCTTTCTTTGTGCCTCCGCGGCAAATCCAGATTTGGCAGCTCTGTTGCAGGCCATTTTTTTCGCCTCGAGAAAGAGTCGCGTTTACGTATGGAAAATCCGAGGGGTTAATCGGCCGATCACGAGGGAACCACGTTCACACTTCGGCGGACGCGACTCGACTGGCGGGAGCCAACTCAGCCGACGACGAGACGACGGCGACGGCAACACGTTCCGCTGGAGTTCCTACGACGCGCCTGGCGATTGGCCACGCTGAGTATTGAGCTTTCATCCGGCGCGTCCGCGACACGAAATCTCCGTTCTCCAAACCGCCGACGGAGATGACGTCAGGCGACGAGCAGATTCCTGCAGAAAGATGAAGAAGAGCGTGGGCTCTCGTTTCATATTTTCATTAATTCGCTCGAGTCTTTGAACTGATGATAAGATAAAACAGGATGTTTTCTATGTGCATCGAGTTTGGTAACATAAAAGTTAAAATCTGAAGCTATAATAATAACAAAAAATGATAATTCTTTTAAATTAAGGAAACTAAATAAAGATTTCTATATTTTAAAAACTATATGTGTGTTTTTTACGATTAATCACCATCTTTCATCGGCCATCTTTCTCGAACTGTGACGGAAAAAATGGCCATAATATTTATAAATAAATAATAGTGAAAATGAAAATATGAATCAAATTATAAGTCACATTATAATTTACGTATCTTTATTGTGTATAAAATCTTGATTATGACAGCTTAACTGTCATGTGTAATTTATTTAACATTAGCAGCTTTTAACGGCACATGTAAACGGCTTTGCAGGCAGTTGAAAGTAAAAATATTACATAATATTTTCATAATATCGTTATTTCAAATGTGCGTACATAAGTTACCGTAAATATTGATTACCTTTGAGATTGAAATGCATTAAAAAAATGTACTAATTAGCAATTATTAAAGAAATTACAGTCTATAATCATCTTTTCTGTGCGGCTACATCTGAATTTATATTATTTAGGTAGAATATTACTCAATATACGAATACGTTTCAATTTCAATTTTAGATCTTCCAAGGATTTTAAAGTTATCTATTTTACTGAGGTAGGATCTACATACGATTTATGACATTAATCTATAAATGTATAAATTATAATACATCACTGTACACTATTGCTTCAAATGCATCATCGAACGCATACATACGTAAAAATTTTCTAACTGATCTTCGTATTAGATATCTAAACCTAATTTTAAGAAATTAATATTGTTGTGTAATCCTTAATCCAAATCAAGATTGTGTTATACGTACGTATGTACAAAGTACAAAACTTTTATATAGCAAATATGATTATTATTACGATTATTACGAGTCAACGCCAGAAGCCGACAAAGAACTGTAATTTTCCAATTTTTTTTCGCTTTTGACATAAACTTAACTGGTTTGGACTACATTACCATTTATACTTTAATTGTGTGAAAAAGGATTTTTAAATCTGTAAAACAATTAAAAAAATATTTATTTGAAATATAATCGATAACAATTTAGAATCCCCTTAATACTTGAGTGCATATCATATTTAAATCATATTTAAACATGGATGGCAGAAAACATGGATTAAGCTAAAATTATAATAACAATGGTGTAAAGTATAAAAATGCGAAACAATAAAATCATAATTTTAGTTTTCGTATTATTCAGTATTCAATATTTTGTACTTTTGTAAAATATTTGTACTTTTTAAAAATGTTTTATACTTTTTGCCAAAAATATGTACTAAATTGGAGTGTAATAAATAAATACTTTAAACAATGTGGAAGAAACTTGCATTTTCAATGTCACTTTGAAATTTCGTTACATTACTTTAAAAATTTACACACACACACACACACACACACACAC